CCCCCCCAGTAGCGTGGACTGTCCCCTGAAACAGCCTTCTCTCCGCCCTGTTTATTTCATTCTTTCATGTGAATTTTTATTGCTGGGTGAACACTAATAACTTGGGACTTTGACCATGGACTTATTTGGATGGTCTCAACTGCATTATCCGTATGAAACAGCATCACCAAAAGCCTTATTTTCAAACCCATAAAGGTTACATTCTGAATATCAACCAAAACTCAATTGAAAGAAAAAGCAGTGGTTTCAGTTAACATATCCGTGAATTAGGTAACTAAAGGGTTAATGCTATTGTTTTGCGATGCCAGTATTACTCTAGAAATACTGATATTCTCCAAACCCAGGGATGTAGGAAGCAGTAGGATGCAGCTAGAAAGCATAGGAGAAGGACACCATGGCATTCAGAAACCTCAGGAGACAAGATAAATTTGGGAAACCAAATGGAATTTTTTTAATGGAAACCATTTATCAGATTAATCTCTTGCTCTTTGCATTTTTAGAGGGCACCAATTAATTTCCTGGTCTTTAGTATGTAATAACCTAAAATATAGTCATAACCTCAGTCATGAAAAATACATCACTCTGTATTTTTAGCTCAAATGTCTTTTCCTAATTGCCCACTTGAGGACAGACATTTGACAAGTTAAGTCAATGACTGCACTCATCCATTATTCTACACATGCCCTGGAAGCCAAAATGGAAAGCCACTGGCTCCTGGTCTGGTATAATCTTCAGGATGGAAGATCCCTGGAAATAGCATACCTATTGGGCTTGACAGTATACAAAGTACTTGCACACATATTATCTAATTTAAGCTTCATTGGGACTTTCTGAGGTAAACACCCTGCTGCCCATTTTTCAGATAAGGAAACACAATCTCAGGGAAGCTAAGTAAGTGTCCTAGGTCAGGTGGGAAGCTGAACATCTTCTCATGTATCCTACACCTTTCAGAAGATTGATAACTGGATGAGAATCTTGTCCAGCCCTTACTGGCCAGCCAGAAGAAGTGGGATTGGCAGCTGCCAGAATATGTACACCTTCTGGGCATAATTCTCCTGGATCCTAAGGTAAAAGATCTTCATTGTCTACTCTTATTCCTGCTGTTGTAAAGCATTAACATAGGAAAAAGCTTGCAGTTTGATCATATTTTTCATCTGCTGAAAATCATTACTAAGCCTCGTTCCCAAAGCCACCATTGATATTGCTCAGTCCCGATCTTCCCTCCTTGCCAATCCCAAACATTACATTCAGGAAACTTCCTTCTCCTTAGGCTCTTCCCTTTAAACTTCTATAATTGATGTTTTTTGGTAAAAAGACTCTCTGGGTTACAAACACCAGAGAAATTGCTCTACATCAAGCGATGTACCTTCAGTCAAACTGTTAAAAAGCCCAGAATTCCCAGAGGGATCCAGTTTTCCAATTGCTCTGTGATAACAGATCAACAAAATGCAAATGTGAAGTATCTCCGGTGGCCTGTGTTCTATAATCTACCGACATATGGATTTTTTTTATCTTGAAATAAAACTGTCATTTTCTGTTTGAGTTTCTAGAAGTATTAAGACTGCTAAGTACACTTAGTACAGAGATGGTCTATCCGTCTACAAATTGAGATCTCCTGAGGAGCTTTGAAAGAATGGTAATGCCCAGTTGGTCATTCATATTGTCTCGGGTGATTCTGACGTGCAGCCAGGGTTGAGCGCATTGACTTGGTAAATGACATGGGCCTACGGTTTCTTTCAGAGCTGAGACTGGTGGGGGCCAGCTGATTCCTGGTAGGGTTCTCAGTCTTGGGATCCTCATGGGTTAGAGAGTGGTGGTTCCCAACAGGGGGCAGTTTTGCTCCCTTCCCACTCCCACACACCATTCTCGCAAGGGGACATTTGGCAATGTCTAGGGACATATTTGGTTGTCGTAACTGGGGAAGGGGTGTTACAGGCTTCTGGTGGGTAGAGGTCAGGGATACTACTAAACGTCCTACAATGCATGGGACAGCCCTGCAGTAAAGAATTATGCAGCCCCAAGTGTCTATAGTGTGGAGGTCGAGAGACCCTGGATTCGAGAAAAGGTGAGGAGAGGAGTAAGAGAAGACATCGAAAGCCTACTCCCTGATTCAAGTTCTGCCAAAAACAGAGATGACAAACAAGTCAGTCACAGCCTCTGGGGGTGGGTTATAATTATTAGAGGGACGAGACAACCCAAAGTTTGGGTTTTCAGGTTGGATTGTGGAGTATGATCCGCGCAGGTGTTCGTTATACACTAGTTGGTGATTAATGACTAGGATTACGAAGAGGAAATGTTCACTTATGGAAACCAACCCCAGGAAGTTTTTTTTAAATGGGGAAAAGCCCTCTTGTTCCAGGTGCTCGCATTCAAGTCCTCCCCTCCCCCACCTTCCCCGTGGGTCTGCCTGCACCCAGTTCTTACTCAAGAGAAGGTCTGTAAGGTTGAATGATTTGTTATCAGGAGTTGGTCAGATAGAAACAACTGACTTACCTGTTAAATAGGTCCTTTAGGGGCTAAAATTGCAACAAGTTCCCTTTCTCTTTTTCTTTGTCAATCCTAACACTTAATAGAAGCACTTATTTTAATGCCAAAAGCAGAATTTATAATTTTTCCAACCAGTTGAGATTTCAAGGCATGTCAAAGTTTGTAGGACTTTTCTAACCAGTAAGAGGCAGAGTTAATATTCAGCTGTTGAACAGGATAAGAGGAGTAAAAGTGTCACATTTAAAATCTGATCCTTAATATATAAATTATTATTTCCTTTACATTGCTTTCACACACATGCTTGTCTCATTTAAAGGTATATCAGAGCTCAAAAATGTCATCATGGAAAAAAGAATTACCACTTGCAGTTACAGAAATCTGTTGTTCAAATAAAATCATGTAGGAACCCACAAGTAAACCACCAGAGCTGCTGGAAATAGAGAAAGAGTGGGAAAGGGATGGGAGTTTCATTCTTCCTGTGATACCATTTTACACCAACCCCCAACCCAACACGGCCTCTGAGAAGTCTCTGAAGAGAAACTCTGTGGTGTTGGGGGTTAATCTTCAGAACACAATTTCACAGTTTTAAAGTCATTGATAAAAGACTTGGGACAAGTTGTTGATGAACACTTTTATAAAAGTTTCAAGGGTAGAACCTACCAAAGCTATGTTAGTTCAACCTCAACTAATTTTCCAGACTTCTTAATAAATGAATTAGATAGTTTAAACAGATTTACTCAACCCACCAAACATCACCCACAAAGAGATGTTGTATATCAATTCTCAAATTGGAGCTGTATGTTCTCATACATGTTTATTAATCATGGAGAGAAACAATGGTAGTCCTGGCCAGGCTTACTGTGTTGACTCTCTAAATCTATACAGATAAGTGGTAGGTAGATAGGTGGGTAGGTAGGTAGAGAGAGAGAGAGAATCCATGGAACTGTGTGTGGACTTTACCAAGCACAATTTGTCAAGCTTCCATGGCTATATTATGTCTTTTGTGGGTTTTAGGCACTTTTGCCTTCGGGAGACCTGCCCCACACCCAACCCCTTCCCAACACATACACAAATTATAAATTAAATTTTATGACTGTACTGGTGATAAGATAGATTGTATTATAGTTTTCATATCACTTTAGAAGAGATGAAAACATTTCCGTGGACTACAAAAACTATGGTGGGCCCTAGGTCTTGTGCTGAATGAATGCGTTGTCCCTGTCTCCTGTTTCCACCCCCTGCCGCGCCCCTGGCGTCTGGAGCCCAATCACACAGCAGCCTCCCCCTCATAGCCTTCACCTCCCTGCTGTAGGGTCTCAGGAAATACAGCCCAGGGAAGACTGAGACCTGAGGTGGGGATGGGGACAGAGGAGAGCTTTGGGAGTCTTGGAGGTTGTGAGGAATGCCCCAGAGGCCAGGCCCATGGCCATGGGGGTTCTCCACGTCTTGGCCCCTCCCTCCTTGTGAAGCGCCCAGCAGGAAAGGGGACTTCCTGAGCTCCTGAGAAGAAAGCAAGGAGGTCCTGAGGCCTGGGGACCATAAACGGCAGAGGCCCTGCACTGTGTTATTAGCACATAATTCTTGTGTAGCATCTTTACAAAGCACGTTCACATCTAGTACCTGATAAGACTCTGAGAACAGCCCAGCACATAAATTATTAGCCCCATTTAGAGATGAGAAAACTGAGGCTCAGAAGCCACTGTCACTGTTCCAGAGTGAACAGTGACAAGGTGGAATGCAAATCACGTCTTAAGTGGAGTAGCCAACTGTCCCAGTTTGCCTGGCACTCGGGGATTTTCTGGGACGTGTGAAGTCACTGCTGAAGCTGTGAAGAGTCAGACACCCTACGTCCTGAGTCAAGAC